TAATTAAACTTAATGATTAGTTAGTTTAATGAAATTATTCGAATTTCATAATTTGATATAATGTCTTTATTCCCACTTTATATTTGTAATCAAGATCATAATTTATCCAGAGAATTTATAAGTTTATATTTCTAAAATACTTGAAACGTACATTGGGTAATAGCAATAAATATTTCTGTCTGGTTTAGAATTTATTTCAAAAATGTTTGTCAATGTGACGAAACTTATCAGATTTTATAAATACATTTAATTTATAAAATTTAAGTCTTTAGCAAATTTAATGGTAAATTCAATCTAATTTTTGTGTTTCTTATTTTATTATACAATAGTATATCAACTATTTCAAAAAAACTTAAACCAAAAATATACAAATGTAACTAAATGATATTTGTTTGCAAAAGAAATGTGAATGAATTGTTATCAATTATCAGTCAGTTTTTAGATGTTTAAATATTAAAACTTAAGTTTATTTTACGTAAAGATATTGTAGAATTTATTTCGATTTATTGTATTTTTCCATTTATTCAATAAATTAACTTACTTTAATCAATTATCATTTAAAAACAAATTAGTCATTAGTCTACAGTTTATAAGGAAATATTAATATGTTGTTGATAAATTCACAATATTCTAGATCAGTGTTTTCCAAACAACAATTCTCAGTGAGAATTTTTCCAAATGACTGCTAATCTGACATCTATTTTACGAAATGACGCAAAATATTTTTAAGGGAGACATAGTAACATCAAGTTTGGAAACCACTATTATAGATGAAGAATGTAAATAAAAAATGTAGTATTTATTAAGTATTATAAAAAAATATATTGTCGGTAATTAAATGGGAGCAAAATTTGTTGACGAATGACTTGGCTATACGAAAATATAAAAATAAAATAACAAGAGAGATAAGTTTTATGGCTCATTCAAGTGTATTCGGAGCTGAAAAACATTCTACGTACACACATATCCTTGTATGTATGAAACTATTTTCGCAATTCTAGTTTATTGTATTATTTTCATTGTTTTTTTTTTAATAATGACCTTTAATACATATTTATTTAGAAGCAATTTATTTAAAGCTCAATTGAACTGCAACTAACTTAAAACTGCTATAACTTTCGAACCGTTGGCAATGCTGTGTCCATATTTCGCCTAATGATAGCTGATTTGATTGTTTACAAGCCTACAAAAGTATTTGAATCTCAGTTTTTTGGAAAAAAAGTTATGAGTGATGGAATTCAAACGTAATAGTGTAATAGCCCAATATTTGAGTGAAAAACCAAAAATGGCTATTGTAAATCTTTCGTGCCTCGAATCATAACACATTATAATGAAGCTAGTAGTGTTACAAAATACTATTTTTATGGTTGGATAAAACTACATCTGTGGTAGAAGTTGTTCGGAAACTTATGGCTCGAATTGAATGAAATCCGCGACGCAATGGAAGACAAATGGATACTCAGCTGAACATATCGAAAATAACTATGCAACAAATACTCAAAAACGAACTCAAAGTAAAGTCTTATAAGTTCAAATTAATAGTTAATTACAAACATTAGTGATGAATCTCTTCAAAATATGGTAAATTTTTAACTTTATACATTGCTTCATTGATTTTTTAGACAATTTTAAGTGTAAAGAAACCACAAACTGTCTGCTCAAGAAAAAAGTTTTTATTACATTTTATTGGAATTAGAATGAGAATAGATGCAATATTTTCATTCCAATTAGTTAATTACAAACATTACTGATGATTTTTTTCAAAATATGGTAAATTTTGAAGTTTATACATTGCTTCATTGACATTTTGAACAATTTTAACTGTAAAGAAACGATAAAATTGTAATTATTGTCTGCAAAAGAAAAAGTAAGTTTTTATAACATTTTATTAAAATTAGATAATAGAATAGATGCAATACATTCATTATAATTTAATGAATCTCTTCAAAATATGGTAAATTTGGTAAAAAGAACAAGATCTCACCGATGTTCAAAAAGAAATTGAGCTCGATAGAGCGAAGGAGTTGTTGCGCTTGCACGAACGCAGCCAAATACCAAATATCGTCTTGTCTGATGAGAAAAATTTCCCAATTGAGAAATTCGTAAACAACACAAATGATCGAATTTACTTAGAAGATAGGTCAATTGTAAATTTAGACATTCGAATGGACACAAGAAGTCAAGTATCACCGTTTGTGGTAGTTGTGACTGTCGCTCTCGATTGGAGTTTTTGGACCGTGGGGTCAAAGGTTAATGCGAATATCTACTATGAAAAAGTGCTGGAAGGTGATATGAAGCCGTGGACAACCAAACATTTCAGTCAGAAAGAGTGGACGTTTCAAGAATATTTTGGACCATCACACAAAGAACACGAAAATCAACAATGACTGAGAGACAACGTTCCACACTTGATTTCGACCACACAGCAAATCCGCTCGACTTCTTCGTATGGGTCATTTTACAGACCAATGTCTGCACTAAAATATACCAGAGTGTTAATGTTTTCAATAAAGCCCTTCTTCGTGAATGGAGGAATATTCGCATTCGTGCAGAGTACGATTTGCTTGACGACCTACTCAGAGCTGTAGTTCGCGCTAAAGGCGGCCATATCAAAAATTTAAAGTGAATTCGAAAAATGTAATTGTTATCCAACATTTTTTGCTTGTGGTTCAATAAAATTCAATTTCAAATAAAAAAAATACAGCGTTCATAAAAGTTGCTGTTCAATTGGGCCAATAATTTAAAATGTATATGAAATATTTTATATAATGTTTCATTTCTACTTCGTTTAAACTTTAAAATTTTCAAATGGTTTTTTTGTAATACTAAAGTATTTGGAGTAGACTAACAAGTTTTATTTAAATACTAAAAGAATAATTGATCTTTGAATTTTGTTAATAATATTATTTAAGCTTTAGATTAATTCAATGACTTGCTTCAAATTGATGCTTCGCTTCAGATCAATCGATCGTTTATGAAGAAGCTAAGTGTTAATAACAAGTAGTCTCATCCGGAAACACTTGACCCTCTTTCGTGTGCAGTTAATACACACGCTCGACGTAGCCCTTATTTATTTTTTTTCCATTCATCCTACTCCTCCTCCTCCTCTTCTGAATGAACGTATGTATTTTCGTTTTGGGGGTGTCAAGGGTCCGAGGATCAGGTTTCGATTACGATCCTGACTTCCGCACAAACAGATTTATAATATTACAACTACACATGTTTTTTTCCACTTCTCTGTCCCATCCCAGAAATAAAGAGGGGCCGACTCGGATGGACGAAACCAAGAAATGTTACTACTAAATCAATGAGAATAACATAGAAGTTGACAGCTTCTTTCTCTGTTACATTTCTCTCTTGGGAAAATCTTTTAATTTCAGTATTTATCTTCACTTAATATTTATATAAATTTATATTTACTTCTTTTTTCGCTTTGTTTCAAAGATAAATTTGACAATTCTATTTATTGACATACAAAATATAATTTTTACAAAAATAGATAAATTTACAAGTTGGGAAAATTTTGACTCTTAATTCCATTAAACCAAGAAATGTTACTACTAAATCAATGAGAATAACATAGAAGTTGACAGCTTCTTTCTCTGTTTCGTTTCTCTTTTGTGAAAAATCTCTTAATTTCAGTATTTATCATCACTTAATATTTATATTTACTTCTTTTTTCGCTTTGTTTCAATCATAAATTTGACAATTCTATTTATTTACATACAAAATATAATTGTACAAAAATAGATAAATTTACAAGTTGGGAAAATCTTGACTTAATTCCATTATTTATCTTCACTTAATATTTTTCGTTACGTTTCAAGCATAAATTTGGCAAGTTTTAGAAGAAAAAAAAATATATAAGATGCACCTCAATTCTATTTATTTCCATAAAAAATATGATGGTCTGAAAATAGGTAAATTTACAAGTTTGTTTATTATAAGCTTTGCTTTATTTTGGTAATAAATCAAATGATTACAATTTTTATTTGGTTCTGTTTTTTGTTGTCTTCAACGCTAATTCGATAAAACTCGCGGGTTTAGCTTAAGACTAAGTTATTAATAAGAGCACTCATTAAAGACTTTTACGATGGAGCAGCCACAAACGAAAGTTATACAGTAATAAACTAAGCCCGGATGGCTTAGGGCGCAAGACGTGTATGTGCCATAAACAAATTTTATTACTTCGAATCGATTCAACCTAATGAATTTGTCCGCACTTAATTAAACTCTTACATTAATTACTTTAGTTTTCTTTAAATAATCATTTACAAACAGTTAATATTAATTGAATTTCGTAAATATTACTACTTTTGTTCAAAAAGTATTAAATTCTACTCAATTAATAATAAAGGTTAAACTATATATTTTTTGTAATCTAAATATATGAATAATGTAGAGAGAAAAGAACAAAGGGTTTCTACTACCACTACTTCTGTTTGTTTCAGTTTCGGCAATGCTTAACAGTATGGAAAGTGTGAAAGAAAATGGAGCGAAGATTACGCGGATTAAAGGATGATTGTGCTTGGGCTTTTAGCGTTAATACCACGTAAGTCTTAAAATAAATAATTCATAGTTAAATATTTCTTTACACGTTTTTGTCTGTAGTCCTATGATTCATTAAAAACAGGATTATATAAATATCTACTTTATACACTGTATATTTTATGTAAAATAATTTTAATTTAACTACAGAATTAATAATAAATTACGAAATTTATCAAAAATTATATTTTCGTTTGAAGATTTTCTTTTTAATAAACTACAAAGAAGTTATCATTTTGAGAGTTTCTTTGATGATGTTTTTTTTAGGTATAATTAATATGTTTGAACTAGATTACTGATGATTTCAATGTCGCGTTCTATTTCAATAATAATATTTGTAAGATTATATAAAAAAAATAGAAAAAACAATATTGAGTTGCGCAAATTGCGTAGGTAGTAATTATAAATAAACAAAACGTAATTTATTGATTGATTTGTATTGTGAGACTTACCCTAACTCTGGCTTCGGTGAGGTTTGTCCACATGGCAATCTCCTCCCTGGTGCTCATATCCGGGTACCGATTCCTCGCGAAGGTAGCCTCAAGTTCTTGGAGTTGCTGAGAGGTGAAATGCGTCCGTTGTCTGCGTTGCCTCTTGGTCTTCTTGTCGTTTTTTCCTTCCTCGCTGTCGCCTCCATCCACCCCCACGTTCTCCGTCTTCACGGGATCGGAGAGCGAACGGCTAGCTGGAAGTGAAGGATAGAAGATCAGATACACATACCTAAGCGAGATGGAGGTGTGAAGGGAGGAAGAAGAAGAAAAAAAAATAAGAGAAACCTATGTACACATTGTTGCAGGCATATCAAGCTCCTCATTATCAAGAGAGTCGGAACCGATGATTTCGTAAGTGTGAAATGGTTTATTGATAACATGCATGCATATACACACACACACTCAGTCTATATCTACTGATACGGTCTGCGCTATAAAAATAATTTGAAAGGGAGCCGCCTCCGATCAATCATGGCCGAATTGACACCTCCGCGATTGGTACAAATGCCGACATCTTCACCTGTCAAGCGACAATCAGTTCAGTTCATGCAGGACAACGTTCCCTCCACTTCCTCCTCCTCATCCTACATCACGTATCATCATCGAAATTGTTATTATTATTATTATGAATAGCGGCGATCCACTATTATATTATTACGAGCGCGTTGTGTAAACTATTATCATCGGCCGTCGGCAAAAAAGGCCTTTCATTACTTTCATTTTCCACACTTGACTCGTCAGCGAATGATAACGCTTCAAGAGGACAATAAACAAACCGGCAGACGGCCCAAAATTTGTAAAAATCAAAATATTGATGATAATCTACAACCTACCATCATCAAGTTGGAATTACCGAAAACGATGCGAGAAGATCTTCAAAATTTAAAACCAATTCATTTCAGGACTACTGTGAACTATAAACTGAGACAAATTCTAACAGGAAGGACTGAAATTTATAAATATTACATAAATATAATTGTATTTTTTGAGTTTCTGACAAATATTTGTATAGAATCGACTATAATTTAGATATTTTCAAAACTTCACAAGACCTTTTACATTTATTATATGAAATTAATCGAAAGGTAAACAAAATCTTATAGAAACTTTCAAAAATGATTCTTCAGATTTTCTATTCAATGCAAGAAAGTTTCTGAAAGTAAAATTAAGTTAAAAATATATTAAATGTTAATTAGAATTTTCTTTATCACAAAATGAATAAATAACTTCAAGTAACTTGGATAATTTGAACAAGAAAATAAATTAGAAAAATTCATTTTCTCTAAGTTTCTTCAGATTTTCATATTATAATAATGGTAATTGTAAGTATAATAAAGTCAATCAATGAATTTCTACTAGATTTTGTAAAAAAAGTGTTTCAAACATTATTTTTTTAGAAAATAAACTAATTTTTAATCTTGGTAAAACTTTGATAATAAAATGTATAATTGTATAAAATGAAAATTACGATCTTCAGAAAAATTTCAAGAATATATCAGAAAAAGGAAACTTTTAACACAAATAAAATAGTAGTAAATCTTAGTAAAATAAACAGAATAATTATATAAAATGAAAATTACGATCTTCAGAAAATTTTCAAGAATATATCAGAAAAAGGAAACTTTTAACACAAATAAATCTTAGTAAAATAAACAGAATAATTCTATAAAAAGAAAATTATGATCATCAGAAAACGAAACTTTCTCAACTTATAACAGAAATAAAAAAGTAGAAAACAAAAACGTATTTTATGAGCACAGTCACTTAATTATGTTGTTGACTGTATGTGTTTGGAAGCTGAAACAAGGTTGTTTGTTTTGTTCTTAGGCTCTTAGGATTTCTTCTTCCATTGACAGGTAATACCCAATATGATGGTTTTAGTTACTAATCTTAAAACTCCTAAAAGTTTTTAGAGAACATATGTATGTTCAAGATAATAAGAAACAAATCTGGAAACCTGGAAACTTTAACAAATTATAACACCTAACATAATTATAGATTTTGGTACTAATGATCATCAATCTTCTAGTAATTTATGACACATTGCAATCATTTAGATCCTTTCTTCTTTGAAGAGAATAGTAAATAATTCTGGAAATAACGATTCTAGATGATGGTATTAATAATTTCTTAGGAGTTTTAACCACCTAAGTAGTACTAATCTTCAAAAAAATATAAAACAAACTTGGTAACACCTCAAAATAGTAACACTCTAAGAGTTTGTACTAAGAATTATAGTGATTCTTGTTTGATGAATTCAACTGAACGGTATTGATGATCCTCAACCTCTTGCGGATGTAAAATTGTATAATAGAATGGTCTGATAAAGATGAAGTTTGAAGAAGTCGAATATATAGATAGTCATGTGTAGGATGTAAATAGGAATGGGGTAATAACCGTTTCGGGATCAGTAAATTTAGCGGGGGCCCCTGGGTACTAATCCCGCTAATTATTTTAAAGTCGTGGCATCCCTAAAATAGAGCGCGAACTTTCTCCGAACGTCCTCCTCACCAAAAAGTTTTCTTTCATAAATTCCAATCTCCGCCTGGGCTTTAATCCCCGTCCCGCGATCCTTAATCCCGCACAGCAAAGAAGAAAGTCGAAAATAGAAGCGCTACTAAATCTCGTCCGTACCCGACATATACACACACACCGCGACACGAAAGGAAGGCCTCACGCATTCACCAATTTCCAAAACAAAAATCTTATTTTCACACCTCGTCCCAGGGATTCGAAAAAGAAAGTTGAATTTCTTTTCTCTCACATTTCGATTTACTCATTTTTTTAATTATATAAAATTTTTCGGTCGGAGGTTTTAATTGCGGACCATAATTAAAAATCAACCAAGTTAATTTTTAATTGAATTTCGTGCGGAAACCTACCTTTGCGTTCGCGTGTACGGCTCCTTGCCGCCGCCGGAAACGGAAGCTGCGGATGGTCCATGTTTCCGGTTCCTCCCGTCATACCGGAATGAGCGTCCCGGAAGTCCCCGGTTTCTGCCCAAACTGCAAAAAAAGAAAAAAAACACACCGCACGTTGCAGAAAATTCTCGACAGACACACATCATTTCCAATTTTGTAAATATCTCATGCAAAACGTTATTTCATAATATCACTTTCTAATTCATTTTTTGATGAGTTAACATGAGAAAATCATCAAATTGGGGGTGCATTTTTATCGCTGTGTATATTAATTATACTTTAATCGTTGCTAATTGCGTTGACGTTTACTACATTCCCAAAAAAAAATCATTGCATCCTTCTCTCCCCCAAAAACCCACTACAATATAAGATCTCTCGCTCTCCTCTTCTCATGCTGTTTTAACACATGTTTAGGTTGGTAGATTTATCGACTACCTTCTGTTCGTCGACACATCCTCGTCTCATACACTGCGTCCTAATTTATTCGTGACAGCCCCCGAATTGTCCATGACTTCTGCTCTCGTTTTTTTTCCTCTTTCTTTGCCGCTGCATTTTTCGTTCGGATCACACACTAAAAATACAATTGAAAAAACAAACGCGCGGGGGCTGTTTTCGAAAAGAATCACGAACCGACGTTATTTTTTTTTCTTTTAAAAATTGTATTTTTGTAACTGTTACACTATAAATATCCTTTTTTTTTCTGTTTGGTGCGACAACGAAACGCGTAAGGATGTCTCTGCTTTACATTGAGGATGCGAAAAGGACGAAATGGAGAATGATTTGCGCGATTAAGGTTAAAGCTTTGGATGGATGATGGCAACTGGAAAGAGTTTACGAGCGGTCTCGTTAATCAAGTGCTGCAAATTTCCATGAAAAGCAATTGAAAAAAGAAAAAGAAAATAAAGGAGAAAAAATAAAGGGAAAACGAGAGAAGGAGAGGATTGTTTTCGATGCCAAAGTAAATGCGTGTGATTTATGGGAGCGCTCTCTTTAATTCGGATTTCGAAAATGTAGCTATAAATTTACTTCTACTCACTTTCATTTGTAAATATTTAATTTATTTTACTTAAATACATTTTCCTGCTGTAATATTGCAATTTTTCTCAAACTAGTTATAGAAACATGAGAGGAAACATTGAAATTATTAATCTTGAAGTGTTATTTAATACGTGGATTAAGATAGTAAAGACCAAAGGTAATATTGAATGAAAATTAATATTTAATGCACAAACATAAAGCAGATGATATAAAGTTCAAAAGTGCATCTATTGATAAAAATATTTGATACTTGTCAAAATAACGTATTAATAAACCAAATTAGGTAAATATTATCATGAATTGACAGCTGTCATTGATTGTAACAATTAGTGACAGCGTGTCAATAGAATGTCATTTATGTCATATATATAGAAGATGCAGCTATATTAAGCTATATCTTTACAAGATCAACTTGTAGCAAAGTTGTATTGAGTAGACTTTGTAATCATGTTTAATTGATAACAATATTTGATACTTGTCAAAATAACTTAATAATAAAACAAATTTGGTAAATATTTTCATGAATTGACAGCTGTCATTGATTGTAACAATTAGTGACAGCGTGTCAATAGAATGTCATTTATGTCACCTATAATGAAGATGCATCTTTATATATTAATTTGTTGGATGAACTATATCTTTATGAAAGATCAACTTGTAGGAAAGTTGTATTGAGTAGACTTTGTAATCATGTTCAATTGAAAAAAATATTTGATACTTGTCAAAATAACTTAATAATAAATCAAATTATGTAAATATTATCGTGAATTGACAGCTGTCATTTATTGTAACAATTAGTGACAGCGTGTCAATAGAATGTCATTTTTGTCACATATAGTGAAGATGCAGTTTTATATATTAAGTTGTTGGATGAAACATATCTTTATGAAAGATCAACTTGTAGGAAAGTTGTATTAAGTAGACTTTGTAATCAAGTTTAATTTATAAAAATATTTGATACTTGTCAAAAAAAGTTACAAATAAAACAAATTAGGTAAATATTATCATGAATTGACAGCTGTCATTGATTGTAACAATTAGTGACAGCGTGTCAATAGAATGTCATTTATGTCATATATAGTGAAGATGTAGCTTTATATATTTAGTTGTTAGATAAATTATATCATTATGAAAGATCAACTTGTAGGAAAGTTGTATTGAGTAGACTTTGTTATCATGTTTAATTGATAAAAATATTTGATACTTGTCAAAATAACTTAGTAATAAACCAAATTAGGTAAATATTATCATGAATAGACAGCTGTCATTGATTGTAACAATTAGTGACAGCGTGTCAATAGAATGTCATTCTTGTCACATATAATGAAGATGCAGCTATATTAAGTTGTTGGATGAAACATATCTTCATGAAAGATCAACTTGTAGCAAAGTTGTATTGAGTAGACTTTGTAATCATTAAGGTTGTATTATAAAAACATTAAAGTGTATATTGTAAGGAAAAGCTGTGCCTTTTGAAAGGATGTTGAGATGTGCTTATGAATAAAGCGTGACAAGAAAATTTCGCGAACGGGGGTCGGGGAGATTCAGTGCGAAATAAGTGGGCCGGCGGGGGCATTAATTCCTCTTAGATCGGGCTTACAAGTGTAATACTTGCGGATTACGGAGGATCATTAAAATTATGCTCGGGAATTATGGTATAAAACTTGATAGCGCATCGAAGATTATCCAGGATCAGGCGTTGTTTAAGAAAGCTTTTTGCCGTCGTCCTGAAGGAGGCGGCGTGCGTCGCGACGTCGCGCGCAAAACCTATAACACTCGCACACACACACAACTCTCATCTTCTTTGCCCATTGTAATGGACGTTACAATTCCGTAAGGATTTTATGGCACATCCACCTGGTTGTACTGATGCGACTGATGAATGACTTCCTAAAATCCTCGGAGAGGAAGGCCAGATTAAAGGGAGCTTAGTGGACGTGTCGCGGGCCTTGCAGCGGGAATCACGGCGACGCCCGCCGCCGCCTCCCCCTTCAGGTGACGGCGACGCCACCGACGCCTCATCCTCCTCTTCCTTCACCACCACCGTCGAAATCGCGCCCGGACGTGACGTTATTAGCTTCGTCGGGCTTCTGAGTGTTTAAAAATCCCATCCCATCTGCATTCTGCCCAGAAAATTTACACACTCAGATGTGCTTCAATTTAACAGGAACAAGAAAAGCTCCTCTTTCCACTCCAGTTTCTTTTTTTTTTATAAAAATTGATCGCAGATTGTATGCCTTTACATAATGTTTACAAAAATAAGACCCAGAACGTTTCCCAGCAGAACTCCCGATTGTTATTCACTATTTCACTAAATACACAACAAAAATCAAATCCAATTAGCTTCTCAATATCCATCCAGGTTTTTGAATCATCTGATTAGATCCTTCCTAATCCTTTAAGAGCACTCGGTGTTAATGTAATCTATATTAGCTTAACGCATTAGAAGGCATTAAGAATGTTTAAAAGCGAAATAAAATCAACACAAATTGTATATTTAATCAATTCTGAACCAATATCAATCATTAATCAATTAAAACAATTTATTTAATGTAGTTACGTAATTTCGTAGATTTTTACTTTGTTAAAAAACATTGTTGTAAAAATTAAATACTCTATTTTTTTTGTGTACAATCTTGATGTAATTAGGACAAATAGTTAGAATTTTCCTCAAGGTAATCACATACATGTGTCTGGTTTATTACATAAAACCTGATGAGAGAAAGAGAGAGAGAGAGAAAAAAATGTGTGTGTAAAATAAAAATTGTAATCTGAATCCTGTTTGAGGGGCAAACATCATAAACCCGGAGACGAATCGGGACAATTTGGAAAATTACTGTAACATTCGCAAGTATAATTTAAATACACGTTACGAGAAAGAGATAGATGAAAAAAAAAATACGCCGATGATGAAATTAAAAACACAGGTAATTCCTTATCTTTCAGTTATCTTCAGCCAAAACGTTGTAAATTAATATATCAACGCCGCTTTTTATTATATTTTTTCGTGGTAATACACGGTAGTTGTCGTAATTGTTATTGCTATTATGTATATTTTTTTTTCTATCTCTATATATCTCTTTTTCTGTTGGTGATGTTGATGTTACGTGGGAATGGCGCAAGTGTTCTAGGTTTTTTTTTGGTAGACGGGGGCGTCGCGATGGGTGGAAGATTAGCGAATTATTCCGCGCCGGCGACGCTATTATGCGTATTGCGGCGTCGCGACGCATTCTCCCTCTCTCCCTATAATCGGTGAGGCCTTTTCGCCGCTCCCGGGGACCGATTTTTAACGCATAATTGTCGTCCTATTGAAACCTTTCACGCACGGCACAATGTAACGTGATGAACGTGAGACCTCCAACACGTTTCTTCATTCAACAACCACCCCCAAAAATACTCAAATTGTAACATCAATAACATCAACATTACAAAGCGATACACATGTTCCACATTACGAAACATCATGTTTTTTTCTTTTCAAAATTAATGTTTTGTTAACATTCCAATAATTGCAAACGTTAATAGTTTTTATATATTAACAGAATGTACAAGTCATTAACCATACTCAAAAGTTTCACTACAAATTGTGCAATAATATAAGAGATTTACTCAGTCTAAATTAATTCTGACATTTGTATGATAGAAGATATGACTTTTAGTTGTCATTATGTATTTTCATCTGTCAATAAATTAAATAAGAAAATTCTTCATTATTCACCTCGGACTGCAAGACAAAATATAGAAAAACTAAGGATGAAATTTATGAAAATTTATGATTATTATTAAATATTGATATATAAATCGATTGAAAATATTTCAATTAACAATAATCTAATTAGTTTACAACTTCCCAATAAAATTAATTATTTTTTTAAAATTTTGTTGCAATAATTGATTTCATATTTATATTTGCATTTTCTCAATTTGTTCTTTAATAAAATAATATTTTTGGTGTAAATTAATTATAAATACTCCCATTGCTTAACTTTTAAATCTTGTAAACCTAAAATTAGAGTGATTTCTTTAATTGTTCAACTAATTGTTATATTTATTAATATTCAATTAACAAAACTTTTAATTAATTTAATATTTTCCCATATAATTAATTGAATTATTTTAAAATATTGAAATCATACCTCGATAATAGAATGTTTCAGGTAAAAATAGAAGACGAATACACCGATTTACACCCAATAGAATCAGTGGTGCCGCAAGGAAGTGTTTTAGGACCACTGCTGTACCTTCTATACACGGCAGATATTCCTAAAACTAACAACATTCGCTGATGACACATCAATCTTGGCATCAGATGAGTATCCAGCAGCAGCATCTGAATATCTGCAGGAAAATTTAGAAAAGCTACAAGAATGGCTTAAAAAATGGAGAATAGCAGTTTACGAAATGAAATCCGTCCATATTACATTCACGCTAAAGATCACTAGATTTAGTATATAGATTTAAGTAATTATTAATGCTCAAAATCATCATAATGGTAACTATCCACCGGGAATGTTCACATTGATTAACAGATTGTGAATATAGGACATAAAACAAATATTCAATTATTAATTAGTATTATAATGTTGGATTTTGATAAAAATCGAAATTTTTTAAATTTATAATTCGACTTTCACATTGACTTTTATCATTTTTCGGTATCAAATATGTAATATTTAAATATTTCATTTTATATTATAGAAACCAATGAAAAATATAGATTTTTTTTCTAATTTTCCCTAAAGTCAACGAAATATCCCAAATTTATTGTAATAATTTTTCAAATTATCTTTTCAAATATTTTAAATTTTTTTTTGTATAAAATTAAAATTGCAAAATATTAACATTGAATTAGATTTAAAAAAAAATAACAAGGTTCCATTAATTAACAGAGAGATGTTTCACAATAATTTATTTATTTTTTATATTTTCGTCACAATCTACCTGTTTCAAAAGTGCCCAGTGCTTTGTTTGCGAAGTACAAATATTACGAGCTCTACGAACTAACTAACAGAACTTCAACACCTCTGAGCATTTTTATTTTGTTACCTCGAGCATGTTCCATGTTCGAGACTGTTTGCCCACGAGCTTCACGTGTATAACGTTGTTGTTACATCTAGAGAAATGTAATTATTTACGCAACGGGACCGCAATAAAACTTGAGCGACACAATTATCATCAACATCATCATCATCATGATTACCTAGCATGTCTACACCGAAACAAACAAATTTTTGGTAACGAAAAACGATGCCTTTTGATTCTCTTTTTTGATGATGGATTGGACAGAAGGATGTTGGATTCGATGGGCGGACAGCATGGGACATCTTGTAAAAGCATTTAGCAAATGTTTACCATAAACCACAAATCTGGGGTGGCATAGGTTCCGGCTGGGCTGGGATTCTCTTCTCTGTTCCACTCGACCAGGAGAGAAGAGGGATTCCGGAGCGTTTTTCGGGGGATTAACGCAATAATTTAGAAATGTGACACCGGGCCGTGTCGTTTCCGAAAAACGCGCCAGACAAATTGGAGTCGTCGGATTATAAAGTCGCCCATTCCGAAACGAGAAAAGAAAGAAAAAAAAACTACACTACTTCGAAAAAATAAGACAGAGAAAGATAGGAGAAAGAGAGAGATTTGAGGGAAAATAACGGGAATTCTTTCAGTCCGAAATTAGATAGAGATGAAGTCCCGAAACACGTGCATTCATGTGACTAAACGTTATTGTTGTTAATCCTTTGACGACAATCATTATCTTTCATTGTCTAATTTTTTGTTACCTTCTTATTAACACTATTATTTCATTAATTTCAAATTCAACATTAATTAACTATATTTTTAATTAACTAACATGAATTTTTTATTTAATTCAATTGTAAAACAATAATTTCACAAACTAATTCGATTTTCTTTAATTTATATTTGATTAATGTTACTTTTTTTTAATTATATTTAAAAGCAAAAATTATCAAATTAATATTAATGAAATCACTGGTTTTTTTTGAATTTTTGTTTATAAAATTCAACGAATTAATCACATTTTCGAGTTTGCAACAAAAACATATGACATTGATCATTAATTAAATTTCGTGTAGAAAATCTCTGGAAAATCAATCAAACAAAGCTCCAATTTGTTTGTAGTAAAAAGCGCATATGACAGGAATACAAATATTGACATAGACATATGTCACTTTGTCACCTGTCAATTTGTGATGTTAAAATCATTATTTTTCTTTCAATTTAAAAAAAA